TTTTTTTTTTTTTTTTTTTTTTTTTTTTTTTTTTTTTTTTTTTTTTTTTTTTTTTTTTTTTTTTTTTTTTTTTTTTTTTTTTTTTTTTTTTTTTTAATATTAGTATTTATTGAATGAAAATTATTATCAATAATATTTATTTATTATTAAAATATTAAATGAATTTTATTAAATTTGAATATTAAAAAATACGGTTACTGTGTTTTTTGTAATGCATGATGATGCAAGGAAAAGTAGGTGCCTTTTGTTACTATGGTCATTGCAACGTGTTTTGTGTGTTTTATTTACTCTCCAATAATTTATAATAATATATATATATATTACAATAGTTTTAAATAATTTAAATTTAAATATAATTTATTGTTTTATTTAATTGATTTTACGTGAGTTTAATACGTATCTAAAATAATTTTAGGATAAATTGAATTGTAAAAACATTTTTGTAAATATTTTAAACATTTTTTTTTTGGATATATTTTATATCCTAAGCACAAGATTTAGATTAATATTTAAAATTTATATTTACGTTGCGAGGAGGTATTGCACTGCATGTTACTAAAGGCTATGACCAAATTACTAATAGTATCAATGTGAAACATCTTTAAAAAAAAAATTAGTGGACAGGTGACGTATGCGATATGTAAATGAACTGATATCACATTTAAATGAGAGTGATGGTTAATTTTTTTTAAAAAAATTGATAGTTATTTCGATAAGATTTTATAATAACAAATTAAAATATTAAATTTATTTACGTCAATTTTACCTAAATCAATAAAGAAATCAATTCCCGAAAATAATTAATTATTTTATATTTATATCAATTAGTTGGAAGAATGGTATCATTTTTTTTTTCATTTAAATTATCTTTCATTATATTTTATATATGTTTGGAATAATTCATCAGAGACATAAAGAATAATGAATTTGAAATTTAATTTATTTCCATAAAGTCTTCCATAAATTAATAATTGAATTCAAATTTCATTCAATCGATTAATTATTTTTATTATTCATTTCAATTCCTGGCCAAAATTAATGCTTACCGAAAAAATAAAATTAAAAATAAAAATAAATCCATTCAAATCGAGAAATATTATAATATTATTCATTACATGTTTTTTTCATTCAACATTTAAAACGTCACAGCTTTGGTTACTTACTGGAATTTAGAATAAATTGAAAATTCAGATTAAAAGTCAATCGAAATCAACATATTATTCATTCGATTAAAATAATATTCATACATAATATAATTCTTCAAATACTCGTGTTGTATTTTTAACTTATTAAATAATTTATATAATATCAATAAAATGAATCGAGATAATTACGTATTTACAAAATACAGTCTCAATTCATCCAATTTCATCAGATTCGAGATGTGATACAGATCTATTCACTCTAAAGCAGATTTGCTGTATCATAATTTACATTTTCTATTCAGAATCAAAACCTCCTATTTTTTAGGAAGAGAATGAATCTTTTAAGATCGGAAAAAATGGGTATGCATTAAAATAATTATAAATTAAAATAAATATCAAAATTCAATTATTTAATTAAATAAAAGGGGTTGGATCTTTTAAAATATCCATAATTAATTAAAAAAAAACAATTTAAAAAGTAATATAATTAATTTAAAAAGTAATATAATTAATTTAAAAAGAAGTTAATTTCACATGCTTGTCGACATACCCCACCCCACCCCATATATATATATAGACATATTTCATGGAGTCATTGTGCCAAACATGAAACATGTCTCAAACAAACCAAGGGTGCTATTCGTGCCATATCCGGCTCAAGGTCACGTCACACCGATGCTCATGCTCGCTACTGTATTCCAGCGCCATGGTTTCCTTCCTATATTTCTCACGCCTAGTTACATCCACCGTCATATCTCGTCGCAAATTTCACTCACTGATGAAATCCTCTTTATTTCCATGCCGAACAGTCTCGATGACAATACGCCACATGACTTTTTCACCATCGAGACAGCCTTGGAGACCACCATGCCAAGCTACGTTCGACGAGTCTTGAGTGAGTACAATTCGAACGGAAGTGGCGTTGTTTGTATGGTGGTCGACTTGCTTGCTTCTTCAGCCATCGAAGTTGGAAAGGAGTATGGCGTAGCCGTGGCTGGGTTTTGGCCAGCCATGTTTGCAACTTATAACCTCATTTCAGCTGTTCCTGACATGGTCAAGAACAACCTTATTTCTTCCGATACAGGTTACCACCCTTTTTTTTTTCTTTTTTTTTTAACAAATAATAATAACCCATAGTTTTTGGGTCAACCATATTCGGCTCCATTTTTTTTATATTTTAATTAATTTAATAATCATCATATCTCTCTTTAAAAAAAATGCTTTAATTGCCTAAAATAAATAAATAAATAAATATATATTTTTTAAGTTTATGTCCAATTTTATTTTAAAATTTTAGTCAAAGAGATAAGAAAAAAGAAAATACCGTAATTTTCTATTCCTGCCACGTGTCTTACTTCCATTGGTTGCTTTTTCTTCAATCTAAATCCTATATTTAAACATGTAAAATAAATACGTAAAATCCTATATTTTTTAAGTTTCATTCCCATTTTATTTTAAAATTTTAGTCAAAGAGATAAGAAAAAAAAAATACCGTATTTTTTCTATTTCTGTTACGTGTCTTCCTCTCATTGGTTGATTTTTCTTCAATCTAAATCCTATATTTAAACATGTAAATTTATCATTAGTCGCTAAACTTTGTTTAATTAAGCTTAATTAACAATCTCAAAGATTATAATGAAGAACGCAAATCTTTTGAACAGGATGTCCAGAAGAAGGATCAAAACGGTGCGTTCCGAACCAGCCGCTGCTGTCTACAGAAGAACTGCCGTGGCTGATCGGAACTTCCGCGGCAAGGAAAGCGAGGTTCAAATTCTGGACAAGAACCATGGTTCGAGCCAAATCTCTTCAATGGATTCTCGTTAATTCCTTCCCAGAAGAGCTTCCCCTTGAAAACCCCATCCCCAAAAGCTCCACCGCTGCCGTCTTCCTCGTCGGACCTTTGAGCCGCCACTCGAATCCGGCAAAAACACCCACTTTCTGGGAAGAAGACGACGGCTGCCTGCAGTGGCTGGAGAAACAGAGCCCTAATTCCGTCGTCTACATCTCGTTTGGGAGTTGGGTTAGCCCCATTAACGAGTCGAAGGTGAGGAGCTTGGCCGTGGCGCTTTTGGGTCTTAGGAAACCGTTCATCTGGGTTCTGAAAAGTAATTGGCGAGATGGGTTACCAATCGGGTTCACACAAAAGGTGCGATTAAAATATATAGTTTATATTTAATCATAGTTAATATATTTCTTTTATTTTTTTTAATCGGTTAAATTAATAAAAATGTTCTTTAACCTTTTATTTTATCCCTTAAAATTTTAAAATCTCATCAAAAAATATATTAATTTTTTTTTATTTTAAAAATACTTTTATTATTAATTATAAATGAAAGGTAAAATAAAATTTTAAAAAATACTCTTATTATTAATGATTTTTTTTTAAATTTATGGTATTTTTCAACATTATATTAACAATATTTTTGAATTTCAATAAAAAATTGAAGATATTTTTTTTAAATTTTAAAGTATATTTTTAAATATTTTAAAAAAATTTATGAATATTTTTCAAACTTGATATTAATAATATTTTTAAAATTAGATATAGTTTATTTATTTATTTATTAATTAAGCATTTTTAATTCAATAACATATTCCGAAGGCGTGTAGTAATATGTCTATACTTGAATATATATATATATATATGAATTCTAAGTATCCTTAATCTCATTTATACATATTTGTATCAGATTCAAAGCTACGGAAGACTCGTTTCATGGGCTCCACAGATGGAGATTTTGAAACATAGAGCAGTTGGTTGTTATCTAACTCACTGTGGGTGGAACTCGATCATGGAAGCGATTCAGTGTCGAAAGCGACTACTTTGTTTCCCGGTGGCGGGCGACCAATTTTTGAATTGTGGGTACGTAGTGAACGTGTGGAGAATTGGGTTAAAACTCAATGGTTTTGGAGAGAAAGAGGTTGAAGAAGGAGTGAGGAAAGTGATGGAGGATGGAGAGATGAAGGGGAGGTTGATGAAGCTTCATGAGAGGATAATGGGGGAAGAGGCCAATTCTAGAGTCAACTCTAGCTTCACCACCTTCCTCAAAGATATCAACAAGCTTTCGTTCGGTAGATTTCTGTAGCGTTTAAGCTCTCGGGTTTAGTTTGTAGTTAAAAAAACGTGACTCGATTTGATTGTATGACTCCGACAATAGGAAGAAATCGATGTTGTTTGGTTTAGGTTCCATCTTAAAACTGGTTAACTCGTCTATCTCCACTATAAAATAGTGAGATATCTTAATTTTTACAACGTTTTCGAATGTGGTCTTATTTATGCTTATAAATTTTTTAAAGCTCGAAGATAAATAGACGGGATGACAGTAAATATAAAATTTAATTTTTTAAAGTTGATTTTATATTATATAAAAAAAAAATTTAATGGACTTCTCAAAATTAACGAGATCATTAGTCTTGAATGAATCTTCTTGAAACGAATTGATCAATCGGAGAGAATTAGATGATTTAACGGTCCAATAAATAAATAAATAAATAAAGTAAAATTTAACACTAAAATTATTATTAAAAGTCACATTTAATTTATGCACTAATGGTACAAATGTACTTGCGTTACGCAAATATATATATATAGGAGCCTTATCCGAATTTTGCAACTTTTTTCTTACTCCCATTTTCTTCGAGCTTAAGCTTGGCTAAGCTGTGTCTTGGTGCCGGGAAAGGATTGTCCAGAAACTGGAGGATTTGATCGTTCCATTTTACGTTGCTAGATTGATGTCAAGTTGAAGGATTTGTCGTGATTTGATTGTGATATATTTTTTTTTCGATAATTCATCGCCGGAGTTCGAGATTGGAAGCTCATTGATTTTCTCTGCAGTAAATCGGTTCGATCTTACCTGAATTGCTTCCGATTTCAATTTTAGGTATTGTTAAGTAATCCTCGGTTGAGTTATTTTGATTTTGTTTATCAACTAGTTTTAATTGTTGTTTGTTGTAGTTTGTTTTTATTGGTGAGAAATTTCTGTCGCATTTTAGAATAGTGAAATATTTGGTGCATTCGATCTACTGTTATTGGATTGATTACTGATGTAAGAATTTAAGATGCTATTTCTCTTTTGGTCTATCTCAATATCTTTTAGAAACCAAAAGGCGACTTGATCTATGACAGAAATGAAGAGTTGACGAACATCACTGATTGATATCTATCTGATTTGATTTCCAAATGGATACTCTCTCTTTCTAGATTGCAGCATTCGCAGAAAAAATACTTTCAAGTATTGGCATCTGTTTGAAGCATAAAACTTTCAGTCGTTTCTTAAGTTTGTGATATTATTAGACTAGAATTATCTGAATGACTTTGGTCTTTCCTAGTTTCCATTTTTGATAGATTTGGAAACTTGGGAAATTCAAATTTTATTAGCTTTAGGAAGAGAGATCGATGAGGCCTGCGATTTTGTAATGTCTTTGGTCTTCTAACACTGAAGAATTTTGAGCGGCGACGGATTGCTCCATTTCTTCGTCTTAGGTTTAGAAACTTGTATAAAAACTTTCATATTTGTAAGTTTTCTCAAACTTTGCCTCATAATCGAAAGTTATAAACATGAAAAGTTCGATTGTAAAATTCTGTCCATTCCTAAGAAAATTTATGGCTCCATTCTCATGGAGAGCTTCTTCTAATCACATCTCTTTAACTGTTATCCTCGTGGAGAGTTTTTTCTAATCTTATCTCTTTAACTAATAGGTCGGATTAGATTTCCGCCCATCTCTTTCTTCTGTAATTATGTGTTTTAATTCAGTTGTTCTTTACAGAAAGGAAAGAAAAGAAACACTGTACTTTTTGTTTATACTTGTGGGTTAACCAACTTATAGTGAGCTTGTATAAGTTTTACATGGATTATTTCTCTAATTCACATTATTTTCTCATATTCTCTAGGAACCAGTGGCTGTCAAGGTAATATGACTGATAACTACAGCCACGGAAGTGTAAGCTCAAGCTCAAGTTTGAATAGCAGCTTTCAGGAAACTGAGGATGATCGTACATTTGCCAGAACCTCGGCAGAGGAAGAAAAATTGAAGTTTGATAACAAGCTCGGGAAGAGACTATCCCATCTGGATTCCATCCCTGTACTAACTTCTTTCTACTTCGTTAATTTCTACATTAATTGGATTATTTCCTATTGTTATCTATGTTATGAATGCAAGATTTTACTGATTTTTATTGGCCCTATGAATTCTCTTTCATAAAAGAAAGAAAAAAAACCGTTAGGTTGTTCATTATTAGGTACATTGGCTAATTAAGAAAAAAAAAATCATGGGTTTATAAATAAAGAATACTATTTTCATTAGTATGAGACATTTTGGGGAAACCAAAAGCAAAATCATGAGAGCTTATACTAAAAGTGGACAATATCATATCACTATGGAGGTCCGTGGTTCCTAACAGTCTGCTGCATTAGGTTGTTCATTATATGATACCACAGGCATCAATTGCGTGGCCCTATACTTGTGAAATTATTTATCTCCTCCTTCAGTTCATAATGGAAAAAACAAAAAAAAAAAAACTATGCTTATCTTTCTGATATCTGCAAATTCTGGAAGGTTGTCATAATTAAAAGTACTGATTTATTATGTTCATGCCAGCATACTCCTCGGGTTAATGGGGAGATACCAAACGTGAATGATGCAACCCTAGACCACGAACGGCTGTCAGGAAGGTATTGATTTTACATCAGGGGCTACATCCAGGAAAATTAACTTCAAGAAACAGTCTAATGCTAAAATATGACTAGCCATTGATTATATTGGTCGAATAGACTTTTGCTTTGTTCTTTAGTATACTTAACAATGTAGCTTTTGTTGATCATAGTGAGTCCTTTTTTTAACAGACTGGCCACATATGGTTTAGCGGAGCTACAGATAGAAGGTGACGGGAATTGCCAGGTTTTAATAAGTTCTTGTTAATATCTTTTTGTATTGAAATTTATAGTTATCCTGCATTTTATTGTTGATTTATCTCATGATGTTTCAAATTACATATCTTTTTAATGTAATAGTTTCGAGCATTAGCAGATCAATTATTTCGAAATCCTGATTACCACAAGCATGTAAGAAAGGCAGTCATCAAACAGGTACTGTAAATTAAACTCTACTGATGCGTCTAATCATTTTAGCTGTTCTATTGATGCTACTTAGCCATTGATTGCATGATGAATGTTGGTAAAAATAAATGTTTATAGAATTTGACACATTTTTATTAAGGGATTGAATGCAATGTGTGAGATACGGGTTCTTAGTAATGGATATCTGGAAATTTTCAATTTAATTTTCTTAATATTACCTTGGATAAAATTTAAAATTAAATGTCTTTGAGATCGAGTTAAAGTTTTAGAAGTAATATCATATGAACATTCTATAAGCTCGAGTTCTAAATTCTTTGGAGTGTCATCCGATGAATTAATCTAGATTCAAGTAAGTTGTTCGGACACTCTTGTTTACAGATCTTGAAGTTATCCTTGTACAATATTTGATTCCCCAACCTTGAAAAGCACCATATGCCAGCTTCCATATTGGACCCTAGGATGAGTGTCATATGAAAGGATGTTATTGGAGGAGATCACATATGATTTTTTCTTTGACCCAGTCTAGAAGTTTCTGCAAATCTTGTGAATGGGAATGAAATTGCCTCAGTAAAATATGTCTTAAAAGAATTTCTTCGCTAAGCAGCACGGTTGTATTAATAGTATTATTCTTGAGGGTTGTGGGAGGAAATCAAGCCACCTTTGGAAAATTATTCTAAACAGTTTCAACTGCCTCTCTTCCTAAATCTAGTATGAGTCTGAATAAGAGAAAAGTTACTGGCTTTCTGTACTAATTCCTTTGTTTCATTACCCAGTTTTTAGTCATGTTTTGTCTGTGGTACTGTTACTGTATATCAAATTCACCTGTACAGTAAATTTTATTGAACTCTGTTCTTGCCCATTCAGACCAGTATCCTGCAGTTCATGAAGCATATCTAGCTTTCAATACCCATCTGTATTGCTTGTATCTTCTTTTTTCTCCATTCTTGTGCTTTATTCTAATTCCGGTTCACTTACGGGAAAGAACTTAAAAAGCCCACTTGCCATATTTTTCTTATTGCCTAATTTCCTCTTTTTCTCCAATGTCAGTTAAAGAAATTCAGAAAACTATATGAAGGCTACGTTCCAATGAAGTACAAAAGCTACCTCAAGAAGATGAAAAAGTTAGTTATCTATGCTACGCTTATTGACTTCTCCCCTTTCAAAGATGGCTTGAACTTGTCTTATGAACTGAGTAATTGCTTCTTCTAATTCTAACTCAAAACTTTGCATCTCACTAGATCAGGTGAATGGGGAGATCACGTTACTCTACAAGCAGCTGCGGACAGAGTATGTTGAATGTTTATTCTTGTGTAACTGCTGCGAAACTCCTTTCTATGAATTCTTCTTACACTGCTAGGAGTTTTGGTTGAATGACACATTTCAATTTCTATACATTTCTTATGAAGGCTTGGCGTGTAAAATTTTCCTTTACCAATACCTAAGATTCTAATATTTAAGACCTCGTATGTTATCTTTGTTTCACTGGAAGATCATTTCGTATTCACCACCACTATGTGTTTTAATACACTCAAGGTTGATCTTGAAAAATGTGCGGTGGGCTTTTTTTTCTTCCTTTTTTTTTTTTTAAAAAAAAGAACTTTTATCTTTTGTGTGTGTGAGTATGCTGTGTACTTGCGTGTTGTCTTGAACTTTAAATGGTCTAATTCCCCACGCTACTTCCAGGGGACACATATTGTTCCTTCATATGCTGCCTCAGAAACCTTCCTATATATTTTGCCTGATGGCTCTCCTCTGACTTTTACTCACTCATGCAAGTTTCCAAACATAAATATATGGATATATCAGCATTTTTTTAATTATTGAAATGAAAAAAAAAAAACTCTTTCCATACAAATAAGAAATATATATTGCAAATTGGTGATATTTTGAAATTTTATCATTTTCTGTGTATTGTTGGAAATTTATTTATTGGTGAACTGGTATATAGACGCAGCACGGTTCAAATTGTGACCCTTCCATAAGCTGTTAGCATTGATATCTTGTAGTCACATTTCTGCAATGTTATGGAACTCTCCTTGATGATAATTTCCCTTTCTTTTCTAGCATTTTAGCCAAGTCTTAGCAATTCATGTGTCTGCCACGCAGATATTGTTTCTGTTGAGTTAATGCTCCCTTACTATTGTTTTTTTTGTGACTATTTGATTTTGTTAATTTTAGTTTGATGCAAAGATCTGCTTAGTCACATCTTTCCGAGACACCTGTTATATTGAGATCCTTCCCAAAGACGATAGTCCCAACAAAGGTAAAGATTTCAATTGCATATCAGTTAAATTATTATGATTGAGTTGATGCATTTTTAATCTGTAGGACCTCATACATTACACACTAATTAGAAAGCTACTTGAATTTTAATCCATGTTAAAATATCACTAAAACTTGTACACTCATTATCAGACGGTTATTTAGGTTGCAAGGCGGAAAAAGTTTTAGTAAGCAATTTGTCCAACATTATAGAATGTGCTTTTTAGTCTGTGTCCGTCTCTCTCTCACAAGTTGGTCCCTCTCGTTTAAAAAATTTTGGTACCTAAACTGTCAAATAAGGTCCTTTCTTATCCCTCGGTTGGCAGTGTGTGGGTAGCTTGGCTCCCATGAATCTAATTTAGGAATTCCACCTCGTCTTCAACTCAAAAATTGCATTTTGCTTGTAAGTTCCAGGAAATATCACCTGACGTGGTTGAGAAAATTTTAAGAAGTCTGATTTTCTAGCAAGGCAATGTTGGATGAGAAGATATAAATAGGATATCGATCTTCACAGATACAGCCAGATTCTTTCAGTCTCGAGTCTTTCGATATTCTGTCGTACTTGGATTAAAATAGACATAATTTTGAGGATTGTTTTACGATTGACATGGATACTTGAGAGTAGCCCTTATTAGCTCTTTACTGGGCTTCCATCGCTGTTTATGTGTGTGTGTATGTATGTATGTATGTATATATATAGATAAATAGATAGATATAGATAGACAGACAGACACATAAAATTATTTTCTTAATTTTTTTTTATTGAAGTTATTTCTTGTGTCATACAATTGAGGAGGGTCAAACGCAAGAAAATGAGCTTGGCTTAGAATGAAATGTGGGATATGGTAGTTAATAACAAAGAAAGCACAAAATTCTCTTTTTTAAGGAAAAGAAAAGAAGAAAAGTGTGGCTCATGAATGTCTTTATAGAAATTGAACAATAAGAGATGGAATATTAAACCTACACAGTTTGTTTCTCTTGGTTGGATAAAATATCCAATCTTCATTAGAATGTTGTTATATGGAACTACCCTGAATAGAAATATTGCGCTTAGTGCTAATTACTTAATTTTATTTGAGGGGGACTGGAATAATCCTATAGACAGCGAGGCTCCACTTGGAAATTAGAAGACAACATTGGTGGAAATTAGAAGACAACATTGGACACCCTTGAACCAAGAACATGTTGAACGCAAATCCTCGTGGGAAACACTCACACTCTTTGATAACTCCTTGTGGGAAAGACTCACACTCTTTGATAAAGACCAATCGAGAAGAGATTACAAGACACTCTTTAGAAATTATTGCACTCTATGCTTTAGATTTCTTGGGATGAAAACTTTGGTAGGTTGGAGGGGTATTTATAGCAGAGGCTAAATAATCTATTCCTAAAATACCTTAATTTTTTTCTTAAAATACTTGGGTATCTTTATTCCTAAAATACCTAAATTATTTTCTCAAAGTATCTAGTTATCTTTATTCCTAAAAAAGATTCCTAAAATACATAGGCAATGGGCTCGTACAATTATTGGACTTAGAACCTATTGGCTAGTGATGATATTTTAACATAAGCACTTGAATAATTGTCATATTTGAGGTATTATGCGAATTCAGAACTCTCCAAGGCTGTAGCTCATCTAAATTAGTTAGATCTCTATTTGATCTAATTTTCGCAACTCTTTCATGTTGACAGAACTTTGGCTGAGCTTTTGGTGTGAAGTGCATTATAATTCGTTGTATGCCAGTGGAGGTGATAATACCCAATTAGACCAACTTGGTTGTTTCCTTTTCCATTAGCTTTTCTTACTCTGAGTGGCTAATATTTCTTCCATTGAATCTTCTTGCAGATCTTCCTACCAGAACACCTAGAAGAAGGCATTGGCTTTCGATTTTCTAGAGTAATCAAACAGTATCATCACCACCCCGTTTCGACTTCCCCGACCGCCCACCGGTGTATGGAAATCTCGGAAAGTGGCTAACACGAAGATGCCATATAGTTCTTCAATACAAAATGATTGTTTTGTTACACTATGGACAGAAAAGTAGCTCAGCAGACTCGTGGAACAGTATATAAAAGCTGTAAGCATAGGTATTTATACACACAAACTATAAAAGGTTAGGAAATTTATGCATTCCAGATTCTCTTATTTGTTTAGTATAGTTTTGTAAGAACATTATGGTTGAATGTTTAGCTGTTCATCGCTCATGACAGTCATTTTCTTGACAAGCTGTGCATGTGTCTGTATATATTGCAGTGAGTTGGAGCTTCGCTCCTGGTCATTTTAGTTCTCTTTCTTTTTTAGCAATAAATATAATTGTAAGGATTTTTTTTTTCTACATTTGAAACTCTGCAAAGTATTTTAGAAATTGTAATACCAAGGTATTAAATTACTAACTAGGGTTTGAGATTCTTTACCGTTCTATTTTACGGTTCTATTTTAGTTAAATTATACAAGAGATTCTTTACAGTTCTATTTTAGTTAAATTATACGAGGGAGATTCTTTACAGTTCTATTTTAGTTAAATTATACGAGGGAGATTCTTTATAGTTCTATTTTAGTTAAATTATACGAGGATCATTTCATTTACCGTATTTTTAAACTTTAGTAAAAAATGTGATTTCAATATTCGTTTCATTATTCAATCTTTTTCTGTTGTTCACTTAACTTTCATATATTTCCTTTGACTTTTTTGATATTTGATATTTCATTGTAAAAATAAATTATTACATTTTACCATTGCACAACTTCCTTACAATATGGGGCTTTCTCCACCATTTCAACAAGAACCCTATTTCCAAAATCTATTTCTTCTAGTTGAGACTTCCAATATTTTTTACAAATCACCAACAAAATACTACATTTTTCAACTGATCATTCATTTGCCAAATTATAATTTTGTTTTCATTTTAATGAGGAAGCTAATGAAATGGTTGCTTTCATTAGCCTACTCATCCTCACAAGATGAGAAATTGAACCTTAAACATATATGGAATTACTGTAGAGCTACACTCACCTTAACCAATATCCTCCAAATAATGAATAGGTAGATCCAAAATAAGTTTGGCAGAAATGCAAAAAAACACAAGAATTGCAGAGGTAGCCTTTCCTTTCATATCATTAAGAGGATGCATGAATTTATACCCAACAAAATTTCTGATACCTATAAAACAAAGAATCAAAACTAGCAAAGTTGTGGACGCATAAGCTAGAGCTACGTTGTAGTTATGTGGGCATAGAATCTACTGTCCTCATGTCCTGTTACACAACTGCTCTCGCTTTGCATTCTCTATATTCCTCTAAGGATCTCAATTCAACAATTCGTTTGGGCCAAGGATGATGCTACTACATATCTAGAATTTAGGAACCAGGAAATCAAAACTTGAACTAATTATCTATTATTATTCTACTATAACTCATCGTGTTTGTTCGATTCCGGTTCGGATTCAGACTTGGACTGGGCGTTTTCACTTGTTGGATTCTCTGAGTCCTTGGCCGATTGGTCACCTTGGGATGAACTCTCATCGGTTGCTGAATTGGAGCTCTTCACGTCTTCTTTACTGCTCTCTGATTCGTTCACAGGTTTCTCAATCTTAGGCTTTGGTTTGGGAATCTTATCGATGCTGGCAACCTGTACGTATATACGGATATTAGTTCTACAGCAATAGCATTGGAGAATGGCACAATGTAAATAACAATTTTTTAGATCATTAGATGCTGGAGAGAAGAGTTAAAAGTCCCCTATCACATTATCTATATATTGGATCAATAGTATGGGTTTGTTTTTGAGATTAAAATTTAGAGCAGAAAAATACCTTTTCTTGTATGTTAAAAGTCTTCGAGTATACATCTTCGGATGTAAATACTGGTGGGCTAGATGCCGAAGTCCTACACAGAAGAGGGGATCCCTTTAGTCCATTTTTTGCTATACTGTAATAGTACAGGTTCGTAAAAGAAGAAACCAATAAATGCCAAACTAGAATTGAGTTTGATAATGTTTCAAAGATACTTCTCTACATTCTAACAGCGAACCAGAACAAATCCATCATAACTGAATGAACTAATCTTGCCAGTTCGATAATCACAAAAAAGATGATAGAAACAATCCCATTCATAGCATGCAAAATTGAGAACTTCAGGAAAAGATCAGGCATAAAATCAAAAGACTGATAGGAAATAGATTAGGGTATACTGTTCAAAGCACCTTCTTCAAGCGTAGACAAGATAAATATGGAAGAATCAATTTTTCAGGGTCATGAAGTCCAAGCGAAAATTCACTCCTCTTTTTCTAATGGTTGTCGAGACTCTAAAAATTAGTCAGAGAATCTGGAATCGAAGTCAATTCCTCATCTTAACACATGCGATTACGATTCTTAATACCAACAAATATTAGTTTACCAGATTAAAAGAATTAATTTGGAAGAAAAAATGGCTCAACGACAAATTGCTCAATACGGTAGAACTAACAGAAATGAATATGCCAGCGGTACTAATGATGAACATATATCAGGATTCCAAGAGAGTACATGCACAGACGAAATGACTTAAGACTGAAACAAGGGAGATGCTAGAAACTAGACAATGAGAATTAAGAGATAACTTACTTTTTCTGTTCAGCTTCCTTCTCATCCAACCAGATCTTGAGCTTGTCACTATCACTTTTTACCTAGACAAGCCACAAGAGATTTCCCAAAACACCATGCATCAAAAGGGGAGCAATTCAAGATCAATAACTCAATAAACACTAAAATACAAAAGAAAACAACACAATGCAAAATCTTACCTCATGTATTCTTTCTTCTGGAAGCCAAGGTTTCTTGGTCTCCCATTTTTGTATAATCTGCAATTGCTCAAAAAGGCGGAAAGGTCAATTTCTTATTAATTTTTTTTTTCAAAATAAACTAATTTTCAAGGACGAAAATACAAAAGAAAACACGCACACAAGGACCACCAACTCGGGACAACAGAAATTACATGAAAGAGCCTCAGTTGTTGGGAATCAAATTACAACAAAAAAGGGGGGGGGGGGGGGGGGGGGGGGGGGGG